AAATATAGTTCTGTATTGTGAAGGTTATTTCTAACCAGTTAAAATATAGTTCTGTATTGTGAAGGTTATTTCTAACCAGTTAAAATATAGTTCTGTATTGTGAAGGTTATTTCTAACCAGTTAAAATATAGTTCTGTATTATGAAGGTTATTTCTAACCAGCTAAAATATATTTTTGTATTGTGAAGGTTATTTCTAACCAGCTAAAATATAGTTCTGTATTGTGAAGGTTATTTCTAACCAGCTAAAATATAGTTTTGTATTGTGAAGGTTATTTCTAACCAGCTATACTTTGACTGTTACAACTTGAATAGTTTAAGTTTTTAACATTTACCCCATGATTGTGGTGAGCCCCAGTCAAATTGTAGTAGTCCTCTTGCTTGTGTTGTAGATAGATAATCTACCTTAGGCTCAAAGTTCCACATTCTTTTATTATAGCCAATTCATAACAGTCCACTGTGATTAGCTGTTCTAAATTTTTCCAATGAGTCTCCACACAAGTATTAACACTTAGGAGTGACTTTCACTTTGAAAGTGATTATTAAACAAGAACACCATAACGTAGGCTGAATTACATAATGTTTGTCTTGACTTAACCAATATCACTTCAATCAAGGAGTCAAGTATCCAGTCTTATGACTGATAGTTCCTTCAATACTTGTACAATATTTTTTAGTTATTTATTCCTGTCTTTCTCATCAATATTTTATCACTCCTGATAAATACAAATAAACATGAAGTTACTCCTCAAACTACTGATGTGTTTTTATAATATAGAACTGTGATATTAAACTTAATTTTGTAAGGCATCATCCAAAACCTGCAGCTGAAGAAGACAGACTGCTGCTTTGTCAATCCAGTCTCTAATGATAAGGCTCACACATTGTACTGAACAATTTTGCTTTTATTTGTTGAATTCACGTGAATAAAAAGACTACCAAAAAGTTGGGCGAAACCACTCATCTTCTATATAAAATACAGGGTTCTCAGCAGTAATCAATGGGAGTTGATATTTTTGTTTACAAGTCAACCCTCTCCCCCAAAAAAAGTACGTTACTAGTGACTGATACTAATTTAATGCATAAACAGCTTATAATGAAAACTGTGTAAAAATGAACAGAATAACGTGTCCTGCAAGTTAACTCCCCTTCTTCTTTAATTGGTGGAAACTTGCATCTATTCAGAATCAAGAAAATACACTAACAAAAGAAATATTTATAAAACAACACAGAATTACACTTGTTCATTTAATTGCACATATGAAGTCCAGTCATATGTTTTAATGCTCATTCTGCTGCTTAAAAAAATACACAAAATAAGTGATTCTAATAAAGAATTTACATTATATTGAAAAGTCAAGTACTTTCTGTTGATTTTCAAATAAAAAGGTGAAAAAATGTAGCACCAGACTGGAAGATGAATTGTTTAGCATGAAATTTATAAAAGCAAATAGTGGTACATTAAATACTATATTGGAAACGATAATATATATAAAACATGACTGAACAATGAAAATTAATCTCAGAAAAAAAAAAATTGATCTGTTTAAATAAAAGCTATAATGAACCACATCAGTTTCATCTCTATACTTATATTTTCTTTAAACAAGTTGTTGTTTCACATCTTTTGTTTGAATAATTGTCTAGAATTGAAATTCTAGACAAAAAATTAATTTGTAGAAAAAATAAGCACGTAGCCACTTGAATTTGAGAAATATTTTGAAAGTGTGTAAATCTAAGTGCATATGACAGGATGACAACAGTGGGCTTATGTATGATCTTTAGTTGCAAGAGTACAAATGACACAAAGCCTCGTTACTGAAGCTAACAAAAGCCCATGTGAAGCCTCGTAAGGAACATATTTAAAGGACAGGATAAAACTTTAGTTGCAAGAGTACAAATGACACAAAGCCTCGTTACTGAAGCTAACAAAAGCCCATGTGAAGCCTCGTAAGGAACATATTTAAAGGGCAGGATAAAACTTTAGTTGCAAGAGTAAAAGTGCCACAAAAGCCTCGTTACTGAAGCTAACAAAAGCCCAAGTGAAGCCTCGTAAGGAATTTGATAATGGCAGGTGTAGTAATGTTGCTAGTGTATGTAATTGCAGGATTACTCATTCTAATCAAGAAGGCTTGCAAATTTTAAGCCTTTCATGAGCATGTTTTGTGACTAAAAAGCTTGGTTGTGGCATAGTATTCTCCTCTTTCACAATATCCTCATCTAAATAAACATCACTGAAGAGGTAAGACAAGTAATGATTGAGCTGCTAAAAGAACAGCAAATATGCCCAGCATCTCTCTCCACCCTACTTGAGGTACCATTAACTTATGCACTCTCTAAATAAATTTAAGAGTGAGCCAAATACGAGCTGTAGGATTTTTATCCTGTCCTTTAAATATGTTCCTTACGAGGCTTCACATGAGATTTTGTTAGCTTCAGTAACGAGGCTTTTGTGGCATTTTTACTCTTGCAACTAAAGTTTTATCCTGTCCTTTAAATACGTTCCTTACGAGGCTTCACATAGGCTTTTGTTAGCTTCAGTAATGAGGCTTTGCGTCATTTGTACTCTTTCAACTAAAGTTTTATCCTGTCCTTTAAATATGTTCTTTATGAGGCTTCACATGGGCTTTTGTTAACTTCAGTAACGAGGCTTTGTGGCATTTGTACTCTTTCAACTAAAGTTTTATCCTGTCCTTTAAATATGTTCCTTACGAGGCTTCACATGGGATTTTGTTAGCTTCAGTAACGAGGCTTTTGTGGCATTTGTACTCTTTCAACTAAAGTTTTATCCTGTCCTTTAAATATGCCATCTGTATGACTCGGGTTGCAATTTGAGTGCAAAGATGCCACCAATATCAATCAGGATGCAGTTTGGTTATAAAATTACCATCTTTTTTACACAGTTGAAGAAGTTGTTGTGTATGAAGCTTGATACTGTTCCACTGAGATTTTGTGCTAGACATGAGCTTTCTTGTCACTTACATTTTCTGGTTTATTAATATTGATAATTTAGTATTCACAGATTTGGTTGTTTTTTTTCAGCCAGTGGTAACTCTCCTTTGTAACCACATGTTTATTTACATTAAATCTTCTTCCAATATTTACAGAATTGTGAAATACAGCCAAGCAAGTGGAGTAATATATTGATACTTCTTACATTCTCTTCAAGCTTCATATATATAACAATTTTCACTTCCTATCCAGTTAATATTGAGTGCATTCATCTCCCTTACAACTAGCTTCTCTGTTTCTAGGGGAGATGTCTCCAATTAGGATGGAAATAAGTTTGCACAGATCTTGTTAACTGTTTGTCCTGAATAATGAGTGAAAACACCTTGGCTGTTGAACAATACTTCTCAATAGAACTTTCTTCTGCATTTTACAAACAGAGTAAAATCAGCACACATTAAGTGAATTTTTTCTTTTGAGTTATGAAATTTCATAACCAAGTTAAAGGTTCTAATTTCTATTTCAAAAGCTTTGGTTTTCAGATACTGCTCGTTATTCGTGTCTATATATACCAAAGAAGATATCTCATCAGCACCACCTACTCCTAGCTTAAATACATTGAAAAGCCTCAAGACTTGTCCATATCTACAGTTGTCAGATTTGAAGACAGGATTTTGCTCAGAAAGATTAGTAACTTAAGTGACATAAGGCATAATCTCACTGAAAATTATTTCAGTAATAATGCTTCTTTAGTAAAGGCAAGGGTTTTATACATTTGGGTGTGATGTACTTGGATACACTTCTGCAGGAAGATCTAAATATCCAATTCCTGATAAAGCATATTATTTAGTGTTGTATTAACACAGAATATAAAATTTGAATACACTTTCTATGATGCTCAGATGAAAAAGGAATAAAACATTTTTTTACAATATAAAAATGGTAATAAGAGGTATGGTGTTTAACAAAGTCCTTGATAAAATAATAAACTTTTACAAGATAAAACTAAAGATAAGTTAGAAAATGTACTTGCAAAGTTTATTTCTCCATACATTTTTAACTTATAAAACAGAAAATTACAAAATATGCTTTTATCTTTGAAAATCACCATGCAATCTGTAATTTCACTTCGTTCAGTAACTGTACATGCATGTTGTTTGGATAAAAAAGTATCTTTACACCTGGAAACATTGAAATTAATGGCAGTATAAGCAAATTGTGCCGTTCCAGCCTGCAGACATTCTGGATTTTTATCAAGTCTTGGTTACGTGGTTGAATTACTGAATTCTTTCAAGGAGAAAACAAACTATCCAAGTGACTTTAAGGTATAAGTAAATACATAATATGTACACATTATTTTACTGATACAACATCACTACATGTGTGTTTCAAACAGCCTCATCCACTACACCATCTGAATGGTCAGCCTGAGCTACTGCCTGTAACTGCACTGTAGGAGCTCCTCCTGAACCGGCTGATGTCAAGAACACGGGTGTAGCTGTTGTTGCAGTTCCTTGGCCAGGCTGTGCTACTTGTTGAATCTGGTACACGGTCTGCAAGGCAATAAAAAAAAATTATTGCTTCAACTGACTGAACTGGATAACTAAAAGTCTGTGTCATAACAGATAAATTTGATTACACTTGGCAACTTGTAAAGGACACACAATCTTTGAAAATTTTATTTCTATCAGATGCTGTCAACTACATGTACACCAAACAGCTATGTTTAAAAATTGCAAATTACATTAGTAGAAAGACTGATTTTAAAGTCCTTAGATTTGCTTTTTGTTTATAAGTACTTCTTGTTAGCCATTTACAGAGTAATTCCATTAAATGTCCTATCAGGACTGAGAAGTTTGGAATTGCAGATTTTATTCTGTTTCCTGGAATTAAGGACAAAATTTATCTATATAGGCTTAATCCCTATATCAGTATATTTTGCTATTCATTATACAGAACAAGGTCTTTTCAAAAGTTGCAAGATGAATTTTCTGCACACAATTTTACATAAATTTCAAATATTTTCTGTTGCTAAACAATTCGCCTAACCTGCCTCTGGCTTTTATAATAAACTATATTTATAAGCATGTGACTACAACATTGATAGTTTTCTGTCACAGTGTTAATAGTTTTTGAATAATGAAATCTTTGTGGTTTCTGTTATTAGTTTTTGGCTAAACTTTTAGATTGAATTTCCAAATAATTTTTATACATTTAAATGACAAGTTGAAATGAAAATAATTAATTTACAATGAAACAGATCTTCATTATATGTCAATACACAGTCTTGAGTGTCATCAGTCTTTCACAACAGCTTAATTTTGAAGCAATGCTGTGCATCTAATAACATTTAATTAAAATGTTTTACATAATACAACAGTTCAGTTCACAATTGAAGAAACTTCCCTCCCACCAAGTGATTCTCATGGCAATGCAGTAACTATGAGACACCACAAAAAGAAGCAGATAAGTTTGTAACACATACCACTTCCTTAACCATAAAAATATTATTAAGCCCTCACTACCATGACATTTCAAAAAGCAAGTGCATTAGGTGTCTACCATTGAAGCAACCACATTAGTCCTGGTAAATTGTGTCCTAACACACTATTACAGTAAAAGAAAACAGCTTTATTTTCACACATGATAATATGTCTGAACACACTTGTCTTTTATTAAACCATAAAATATATCCTGTTGAATGTCCACATGATAATATGTCTGAACATACTTGTCTTTTATTAAACCATAAAATATATCCTGTTGAATGTTCACATTATAATATGCCGGTTTAATAAAAGACAAGTATGTTCACATAAAATATATCCTGTTGAATGTTCACATGATAATATGTCTGAACACACTTGTCTTATATTAAACCATAAAATATATCCTGTTAAATGTCCACATGATAATATGTCTGAACATACTTGTCTTTTATTAAATTATATCCTGTTGAATGTTCACATTATAATATTTAACACATAAATGTTAAATAAAGCTTTAATAGCATATCATAATGTGTGAAAATAAAGTTTTGTTGATAAATTATTAGGAATTAGTTTAAATATTTTCAAATTTGATTTCCAATTAAATATGAACTTTCAACATATTATGACTAAAAACGAAAAGAGAACTAAATTCAACTTATCAAAGCATATTTTCAAATTTAACAACAACATTAAAAAGGACAATTTACACACAATAACTTATCACTATATTAAACTGTATTGATTGGAATTAAAATTAAACACACATGAATAAAATCAATCCAGTAAAACAGGGTAGTAATAATGTTGTAAACTCGCATACGAGAAATAGCTAAATCTTATATATGATTACATCAAAATGATTCATGATGTACTTAGTTCCCACATTAAGCCACCAATGTAAGTTAATATTTCTAAATGTACTTATTATCAATTCTTAAAATTGTTCTAAACGTTATAACTCATATGATTTATAAATAAAAAATTAACAAATATTACTGACAAAATGGAAAGTCAATTATGAGCCTCAAAGAACAGAATTCAACTTTTCTCATAGAACATTAAGGTACCCTTATGACTGCATCCAAATGTCGTCTATAGCAAGGTGTCCTTAATATCAAAAATGAGCCATGCAAAGCTGGATTCCATATTGACCATACTAAAGTTTTGAATTTTAAGCCAGAACTACTACTTGTCATCTTTTGAAGTTATCTACCCTCTAGAGTACTGAAAATCTTCAATGCACAAGCTCTATGTAATTAGTTATTGCTACCCTCCAGTCGGAGAGGGTAGATAGGATTTGATGTAAAATGTGTAATGTTAAGGAGAACTCCAAAATTAAATTATGTCCGAGTGTGTTTCACATAATGTTTTAATCGATAACCTATTTACCTGTAGTGACAGATTTAATGAATAGTACCACAGACTTGGCTGTAGGTGAATATTTTATAGTAAGGTATTGGATATGTTGTGAATCTCAGTCAATCCTATATTCTAACTGTAAAGTTTCTCGAGTCAGTGACTTGTATACTCCACTCACACCTACATATATCTGGATTTAAGTAAATATATTTGTAACTGGTGTTAAACCCAAACAACTAGCCTACCTGGCCTCCCATTACAAATTGGCATAGTCAACAGGATTTTTGGAGAAATCAACAACAGGGTGGTTGGATTAAAGAAAGAGTAAAAATAAGTTACTTTAAGTAGACACAAGTAAGAAGAAATGGCTACTGCTGGCATACACATTACAACAGAAGAGGGTGTGACCATGAGCCAACAGATAGGCTGGTGCAAAGTTTAAGGCTGTCGTAGATCAACCTGCACCACCAGATACACACGGCACTACACATTTAATGGGAGCCATGCCATTATTTCGTGGTAAGTTTGAGGAGGATATCAAGAGTTTTATCAATGCAGTGAATGAAGCTGCTAGAATTTCAAAGTGGACAGATGCTCAAAAAGCAGATATTCTGAGATTAAAAATGGCAGGATAATCTAAGTGTTATATTAGAGGATATGTTGAGCTGTGAGAAACTGCAGACTTTCAGTAATTAGCACATAGACTATAAAAAATGAGAGATGCCCAATACAATACTGACACAAATACACAGCAGAGAGGAGAGTCCGCCAGAGTGTTTGGTCATAAACTACAGGAGCTAGGCAACAGGTTGCATAGGGCATATAGACACCTGAATGAACTGATTATATAAGACACTCTGAATATGAGTGAAGTCTGATCAGTAATGTAACCAGAAGGAACATAAATGAGGCTAATACACCTGGCACAACTCTATTACAGTTAATAGGGGTAGTCACTAGAGAGAAGCTATGCAAGAAGCACATATATACTCCACAGCATTCTGCTACAAATATGATGGCAAGTGGTAGCAGAAATGATAAAGCAAACTGGTGAAACAAGCAGAATAAGCCCAACAACTTGACATGTTTTAACTGTGGTAAAAGAGGACATTATAGCTAAAAATTGTTTTCAGAAAAGAAACTAGAAGATAGCATGTTTTAATTCTGGAATGACCAAAAACTGCAGAAAAGCAGAAAATGAAAAAGCCCCAAAGGCTGGAACTTTCAGAGGAAAGTTCCACAGAAATAACAGAAGCCCAGCACTTAATAGAGACTCAAAAAACATTATTCCAGCAGGAATTACAGAGCAAGTATAGAGGTAGTTTTGGCAGTTTGAAATAAGAGGCTGAGCATTCATAGTGTTAATGAAGTGTCACCATTACTTTTTGTAGAAATAGAAGGTATAGTATGTCAGTTACTGGTGCTCAAACTTCTCTGCTAAGTGCAGAACTAGTGAATAAAAATCTGATGTTGTTGAAAGGAAGTTTCTAAAAGTGTTTTAACATCAAGTATAGCATTCAGATGAAAATAGGAGACTTAAGAGTTGGAATATTCATTTTACATCTGTAAGCAGATAGATTTAGAAACAGATGGTATTACTGGGCAGGATTTCTCAAGGGCTTACGACATGGAAATATCTCCTACCAGAGGTAAGCTGCGCATAGGAACAGAGAGCTTAAGTTTAGAAGGAATCATACCTTCAAACTTATGTGCTAAAGTTGAGACAAATGATACCTTCTTGCTGATTAAAATTAATAGTCAGATGCCAAAAGCTAGCAATGGTCAAATCACGAAAGCACTGACACTCCTAAGGATAGTGATATATGACAAAGTTGGCATGGTAAATGAAGTCTTCTATATAGACACAATGAAGTATTTTAATACATACTACATTGGTCTGTCTTCTTCAGGTATGATACAAATCCAAATAAAGAGGTTTATGTACAGAAAAAAATATCCCTATGAACATGGTTTGGGGTCAGAGGCCATGTCATTGTGTTTGTAGACCCACATTCACAATTTTACTGAAATACTATTTTATGAACGTATATCAAATTGTAGATTATAATTCCAATTTTAGTATTATGCATTAGTTATTTTTTTATTTTAAAAGTAAATATTAAAACAAAGTTTCTACATGTGTCACGTGGTATGTTGGGTGCAGCATTGGTTCAAATTACATGTTTGTGATGTCCAAATACAAAGTCTATAGTTTCTTATGAATCAGATACTCAAATTACCAATATTGACAAGCTAGAATATAAAATAAGAATCTCCTATCTTTTATTTTCCGAGATATTAATATATTTACCTAATCAACCAAGGTGGCTCCACTCACCTCTGAAATTTTCTATAATACTTGCCTACTTTGCCCAATGACATATAACTAATTGAATGCTCAGAATGTCCCCCTAGTGGTTTTCTCAGCCTCCCCAAGTGATCTTGAAAAATCTTATTTTTTAGACCCAAATACAACTTAGTTACTAAGTTTGATAATTTATAGTGAAATTCTGTGGTATTAATATAGTAATTAATAATTTTGTGTTATTTCAAAATGCATTTATAAAACCTAAAAAAACTATTTTGTTTTATGTTTTTCTAAGTATTAAAATTTGATAAGGCTTAGCAGCTTACAGGAAACAAGTAAAAAATTTGATAAAAAAAGATATAATTGTTTTTTATATTTCTTTATTTATTGTTCT